CTTTACTCATATGATTGTGGGAAAATTCAACTTCGAGTCTTCCATCACCCTAAACGGAATAGGGCAAATACATCTGGTAGTCTCGGAAATCTACTTATCAACGTAGCAATTATTGTTTTTGTTGACTGTAGCAGTAATAGTAGTAGTATCTTATCTACTTACAACCAATATAGTGGCAATAAACCAAGCAATGAGAGATAGAAAAAATGGATTTGTATAATTGGGCTAACCAACGACCTATTCACTTCGAGTGGTAGAAAGTTATAAATGACAGGTATTTGACTTTTCCTCCATTACATTTTGCATAGCCTTGTTTCCCAAAAGGTTTTCTCATCCTGACCTGAGTGAACTGCAGTGTCGACCTCGTCTTGGTCTAGTCGGTATCCTCAGCGGGAATAACACTGCGGCCATGAATTTCCAACAAGACCAGACCTTTCAAATATCATAGTCGTAGTGGGATGGCCAAGAGGTTGGTGTCTATGGTTTGGTCGCAGTCTCCTTTCCATGTATAGATGTGATCGGACCTCGTGTTTGACGTCTGGTCGTGTTGCCAGGGCGACTAAGTTGGATTCACATTGTCCGAAGTCGTTTGTCATATAAGGCATCCGATTTTCAAGCATCGGACCGCAGATCTGGTGCACTTTCAGACGTGTCGCCGGCATCGTCCGTGAGTCTTGTCGTTCTAGACAGTAGGCCACAACTCGTCAAACGAGACAAATGAAGCCAATTCGATGATCAACTTTCTGCCAGATGGTTGAGCTATCACGCCCCTGTCAACACAGTAATGATCATAACATCATTTACATTCGTTTGAAGCTTCTCTTAAACTCATCAACACAACCAGACTTTCGGGATCACGCACATGCAGTCATTCTTTTGGTTGAATCATTAAAACGTGAAGTCTGGGCTATATTGTGCTTACGCTGAGTTATGACCGGTATGTTATATCCTAACTTAAACTCTTACGGAGGTTATCATACACGAATTCACACACACACACACCCTACCCCCTTGTCTCACTTTCGCCCCATCACAACTTCCGACATGTCAATAGTCCACTCCTCAAGAGATGCAATATTTTGACAAATTTACCATGACGTCATCACACTTCGTGCCTCCGTAGATCTGTTTCTCGTCTTTGGGGCTGACCGATTTTACTCGGTTCCAGCCTCAGTCTACTTTTTACTACCGACGCTATTACTCAAGGCCTCAGTGACGCGTACGATTTCGCCCCACTTGAAGAGCGCCTGGGATATGATTCCCATGCCTGCAGAGATTAGACGTTACCTTCCCGCCTGCAAAAAAGAGGCGAGGCAACTAGTCTTTTCTTGTTTTGCTTCTAATGATAGTCATTTCTCTATACTTTCAGCTCACTTTTTCTCTTTCGCATTGAGACGAAAAACAAAAAATAGGCTCACAAGTGTGTCCGATCTTGCACAATCGGAGTGATGGTTTTAACTTAAATGTATTAAAGGGGAGATTGGGTTCATCAATCCTTGATGGCCAAAAACGGAGGTTCCTTTTTGCTGTCCTAATTACTTTGAGCCATCACTTCGGGTTTCGTGCATAAGCGAACACAAACAGG